ACTCAGAGGCTGAGAATGGACATGGGCTTCTGTCCATCCTGTTGGCTTCCAGCTTGTGCCCTTTGAATTCCAGCCTTCTCATGATCTTCCCTTCCTGCCCGCTCTGTGAGCTTCAACCACTTGTATCAGATACAGAGACAGTATTATAGGTACTGCTAGCCCCCAAATTGTATAAGCCAAATCCCTATAATAAGTATCTATCCATCCATCTATGTGTCTATCTATCTATTAATCATCTACATTTTATTTTAGTTCTACGTCTGATGTTGAACCCAGGGTAATATAGGAATTGTTTGGAAGCCAGGTCCTTTCTTCTGTGCAGTGTCCTTCTTGATCAGATTTGGGCCTGCCTGTACTTCTTATCCTCAGTGACCACGTCCAGTGGGTGCATTTTTCATGTTTTTTAAATTGTATTTAATGATGCTTTGACATCTTGGAGTCTTGCTGGCCAGGAGAGACTGCCCTGCCCAAGGCAAACTAATATCTCTAGATAGCACATGAATCCCTTGTGAGAATGCCATGCATATGTACACCAACCAGTTTAGAGACCACACCAGTCAACTTCTTCCTTTATGGAGCACTCACAGGTTGAGCCACTATCCCCCTGGCATAATATCACCTTAGGAACAGGTACCAAACAACTAATGAAAGACCCTACAACCAGGAGCATGCTGACATATTTCAAAATAGCCAATTCTAAACTGTTTACCCTGCTCCGCTTTACCTTTTCCACAGAAATCTCAATAAAGACTTAGACCCATGCATTCCCCTCACTCCTGCCTTCTGATCAACCCTTGTGCATCCCCATGAGGTCCTGTGTGACATTCCATACCTCCTCCTTTTGGGAACGATAAATAATAAACTCTTCTATTAAAAGCAGTTGTCTCCATATTTGTTAACTTACCATACCTGATTAAAACTAACCCTGGATGTTTTTTAAAGCAGTGGGACAAAATTGTGGTCAAAATGGAGGAAATTTACCCAGACAGGAGATCTTTCTGACATTCAAAATGATGCTGTCTACTAAGCATACTTTATTTACCAACTATCCAGTCCCATGTGAAGATAGTGACATGGTAATTTCTTTGGCCAGATCATGGCAGGTGGCCCTCCATCAGAAATGTCAATGCTTAGGGGAAAGTTGACTTCATCAATAAGTCTTAGAACTATATTTTTGAGACAAAGATTTCATGTATATGAAAATTTTCAATGATTGCCATTAAGTTGTAAGAACCATATTGAAAATACTGTCTTCAGACAAATACTCAGACTTTACCTTTTCTTTGTCTCCATGGTGACTGTTGCAGAACCTTCATCCAATTATATTGATGATGTCATCCATGACAAAGTAATGAACATTGGAAGAACTGTCTCTGTGGGTTAAGTATCTATTCAACACAGTGTGTAGGAAAGATGTTTTTTAGGAAACTCTGCTTATTTCCTTTCCTCCCACCACTAGAAGTTAAAACCAAGTTTTATAATTCAGAGATGAGTGACTTATTTCTTGAAGTACAGATTCAGAATATTTCATCTTCAACTGTTTTTATAAAAAAGGTTTCCGTAGAACCATCTGAAATGTACACTGGGGCAGAATTAAATACTGTCAATCAGGCTGGAGAAGATGAGTGTACCTTTGGAACAAGAACATTTTTGCAGTCAATGGAAGGACGCCAGTATTTGTACCACTTTCAGACCAAGAAGGAATTTTTAGAGAAATTTGGTATCATTAGAGGACTAACAAAAATGGGAAAATTGGATATAGTGTGGAAAAGAAATTTAGGTGAAATGGCTATGCTACAGACAATCCAACTTGAAAGAGAGGCTCCAAGTTATGGAAACATGATGCTGTCTCTGGAGACAATCCCAGATACTGTAATTCTAGAAGAGCCTTTTCATATTACCTGTAAGATAACAAACTGCAGTAATAGGAAAATGAAATTGGTTTTGAAGATGTGTGATACAGATTCTATTCGTTGGTGTGGAAGCTCAGGAAGGAACCTTGGGAAGCTGTCTCCAAGTTCATCTTTCCACTTTACCCTGGCACTACTGTCCTTAAAAATGGGCCTTCAAAGTGTCTCTGGCATACGGATAACAGACAAATTATTAAAGAAAACCTATGTCTGTGATGATGTTGCAAAAGTCTGTGTAATACCTTCCATATTAAAATGAAAAGCTGAAGAAAAATCCGAGTGTTGTGCTTTCCAAGGAGTTGCACAGAAAAACTTTTCATACTTCTGTTAACAGCAAAATGACCAAATATACAGGCAGATGATTTTCATTTACTCCCTTAGACACCCTGAATGGCTTTGAGAATTAAACATTTGTTGATTTCAAAAAAAAAACAACAATCTGTTGATTTTAATCTTATGTGAAATACTTTCTAATCTACACTTGTATATTTCATAATATTTATGACTTTATTAAGGTCATTATAGGTGGCCATTGGCCTTTTTTTTTCAGAATGAGGCCACTATTTAAAATTCTTTATACTTACTTTTCAGAGATCCTTAATAGCATTTGACAAGTTCTGTTTCAGTAAAGCTGGTATTGAGAGAATATAAAATTTTAAAAGTATATTGATAATTTAATTAAAATAATTGTTATGGTAAGATTTCAATTTACCCAGTTTTATTATTTTCCTCTCTCCTTTTCAGTCAACAAAACATTATCAATAACAGTGTTTAATATAATTCAGGATGGTCCTCAATATTTAAACTTGTTGACACTTGCTGCTTGGAAAAGACATAATTTTTTTTCTAATACTATTCTAAATTATTGGATTTATAGCCTTGAGTTTATGCAACACACTGAACTGGCTCTTTTTCATTTATTTTGGTAAAGTTCTTTGAACTGTGGAGTTGGTTTATTTTCATCAGTTGCTATTCCTGCAGGGACTCTTGCAAATACTACTTTGATTACTTAGGTAGTTTTTAACAATTAATGCAATGTATTCTTTCTCTTTTATTCAAAGGCACAAATCAGCCTTCTTGTTTAGTATTCTTAAAATGTGCCACTTTTTTTCCTAAGTAGATTTAGTAGGTTCATAAATTTTGTTATGGGGTCTGGAATGCTAAAAGAAAATGGCCACCTAACCAGTGAAAGGAAGAACAAGGATTTGCTCCTACTTCTGTCTCCCACAAAAACCTGATCTCCTAATCGTGGTTGAGGCTGATATGATGAAGAGGTGTGTAATAGAATTTTTTTTAGTGTTATTTTTTTTAATATTATTCTCCAATATTTCATTCACATATCAATTTTTCTTTAGAAAAATAAAACCATCTCAGGCATTAGCTAATCACTGACTTTTGAAAATATAAGATCCATACTTCAATGGTGATATTTTCCATTAAGTGTCTAATTCTCAACATTGTTTATCTTTTAATGCATAAGCACTAATTTCTTAGTGTAGGAGCAATTTGTGAATGTATTATCCATAGAAATAACATAAATTATAAGCTCCCTCCTTTTGCTTCTTTAGGCCCAGGAGTGGTAATGGATCCTTTGCTATTATTAGGTCTGGGGTACTGTCTTATCTCCCTCCAACTTTCTTGACTCTGGTCAAGATTATTTTGATTATTTTGCTAACTTTGATCCCTTTCACTCTTTTCTGTTGAAGACTTGACAGATAGACATAAGCAAACATACTTAAACATACACATACATACATACCATACACACCACACACTAGTATATACCCCATAAGCCCCTTAGACATACTTCGACATTAAATTTAATGCATATAGTCATGAAAGAACATGTTTTTTTTTTTATGGGTACAAAAATTTCTGAAATCCTTGAGGGAAAAGTATTAAGAAATCAAAAGCAAGTAATGAAGTAAAAGGCAGGATGAAAAGCAGGGGCTAGGAAACATGTCATGGATTTCATCTTATGCCATGTTTATATGTTAGACTTAACTTTGTTAATAGTCATACTTAATAGCAATAATCTCATGGTTAAGTATGCATTTCCATTTCTCTTCTCACCTGTGTTTAGAGATACAAGAGGAATGGCAATTGAACCAGTTTTGACATTTCTGCTTTGATTTAGGCAATAAATAAAAGAGGTTTCACTAGGCCAATAGTATCATAAATGAAGAAGTAGTTAAAGAGAGACAATATTTATGGAAATAAATTAGTACACCTTCAAGAATGGACAGTTGTGGTACCTGGGGATTATCACTTATGTGTCCTTTCTCCTTGTTTACAGACTGTATTATTCTTGAGAGGGGTTGTGGTTAACATATTTTCTTTTGTTACACTAGATAAGTGTTGCATTTAAATATTGATCACTGGTACTTTTTTGACTGACTTTACCCTTTGTTTCTTTTTTTTTTCTTTTTTTTTTTTTTTTGGCTAAAGTTTCTAGCATGGGTGACTGAATGGATTACAGGGCTCTTGTCTGACCTGAAGAACATGAGAAGATGAGTATATAGCTGAAGTCAATATCACAGGAAAGTTATAATATATATGACCCTTTATGTGGACATTACAATTTAATTTTCACAACAATCTTATGAAACAAGTAGACTATACTGTAAGTTATATACTTCTTGTACTTATAACACGGTAGTTAATTCCAACTGATTAGAAAGGCCTTTGTCTAAATCTTCATGTAGAATCTCCTAAGTCTCTCCCAATTGATTCCCCAGAATTTGGTCATTATGTGTTATTCTATTCCTAGGTGAACAAATGAGAATATATGGAAGACGGTATCATCTCTCTGTCTGACGCATAGTTCATCTAAAAAGTTTGCTGAGTTCTTAAGCAGCCAGAGAAGAAACAGAAAGTGATCTGGTGAGGTACCTGTCCTATTGATCTAGTGCTTACTTTGTCATTATATGGTTTAGCAACTCAAAAATACATGGTTTTGGACCTCTATATCACCACATAGATTTCTATGGCATTTGCAAATGCTGAAGGAGTGGCTCTCATGGTGCTTTGCCCTGACAACCAGCTTTATATGAATCACTTGCCATGAGAGAAAGCCATTGAGCCATGGAAAGTACGTGTGTGTCACAATTCTTAGTCTCTGTGAAGAGAGTCAAGTTTCATCAAACCTCAATTCTAGATACTGGCTTGGCAAATGGTGCATGAGTTCACCATAGTTTAAGGCTAAATCTCTGAGTATACCTATGACACCAACTAACCTCTAGATTTCTTCATTTATATTTGACTCAGCTACAAGTTACTACTTGAGCAAAGGCCCAGAGAAATACCTTGTGTCTGGGCTACTCTTTTGATCAGGAAGCAATAACTCGATATTTCCTCAAAAAATTAAAAATAGAACTAACATACGATACAGCAATTTCAGTTTTGAATCTTTTATTCAAAGAAAATAAATACATTAATTCCAAAATATATATTCACTCTCATGTTTTTTTGTAGCATTATTTATAGTGGCCAAGATACGAAATAACCAAAGTGTCCATTTATAGATAAATGAATAAAGAAGTCACACACACACCCACACGCACATGCACACACACACACACACACACACTGGAATAGTATTCATCCATAAAAGAATGAAACCTTGCCATTTGTGACTACATGAATGGATATTGAGGGCATCATGCCAAGTAAAATATGTCAGACAGAGAAAGGAAAATACCATATGATCTTACTTCTATGGGAAACTTTAAAAAGAAACACCAAGCTCATAGATATAAAAAACAGATTCATAGTTACCAGAGGTAAGGGTGAGGGTTTGTGAAATAGATGAAGGTTAAAAGGTACAAACATCTAGTTATCAAATAAATAATTCATGGGAATGCCATGTACAGTATGGTGAGCATTGTTAATAATACAGCATTGCATATTTGAAAGTCATTAAGTGAGCATGTCTTAAAAGTTCTCATCACATTAATTGTACTTCAACAAACATGAATGAAGGAATAAATAAAAATGATTCAAATCTTAAATTCTTCCAAAAAGTAAAAAAGAAGAAAACAGTTCCAATTTCATTTTACAAGGTCAATCATTTTTCTGATACCAAAGACAGATAAAAGGGTACTGAAAGAAAAAGAAATTAAAGGATTATAATCTCTAATGAATGTAGGAACAAAAATTCTCAGCAAAACACTAGCAAATTGAATTTAACGGCACATTAAAAGGATTGTACACCATAACCAAGTGGGATTTATTCCTGGAATGCAAGCATGATTTAACCTACACAAATCAATAAATGTTATATACCACATTAACAGAATTAAATATAAAAGTCAGTTCCATTTCAATAGATGTAGAAAAAGCATTTGCCCAAATTCAAAATTCATTCATGATAAAAAACAAACAAACAACAACAACAAAAAAAAACAAACAAAAAAACACCTCTCAAAACATTGGGTATAGAAGGAAAGTACCTCAATATAATAAAGGTCATATACGTCAAGCCCGTATCTAACATCAAACTCATTGGCAAAAGGTTGAAAGCTCTACCTTTTAGATCGGGAAGAAGACAGGTGGGGGAGGTTCCTGATTCCTTATCACCACAAGCAGTTGTGGGACCTGGACTCACACTGGGCTCCCCAGCCCAGGGTTCCAGTGCAGAGAAGAGAAGTTCTCACAACTTCTGGCTATGAAAACCAGCCGATCTTGCAACTGAGTGAGATGGAAGGCTACAGGAATTGGAAACCTTCCTCTTAAAGGGCCCATACCTGGCCTTATTCCAGTGCTGGGGCAGCTGATCAAGGGGAGCCAAGGACATATGGTGAGGTGCTGAGCTGTCGGGCTTCAGGTCTGGAGGGGCAGCTAGCTAGTGGACAGAGATGCAGGCAGAGCCATTGCTCCTTTGTTGAGCCCTATCCCCTCCCAGTCTGCAGATGCAAGTGCTATCAACCTGGATAATGCAGATCACTTTGTCCAGGGGATGCCCTGAGAGTCTACCTCTTCCAACTTGTGGGCCCACCCACGCATCTTTCAGTGACTTATTCAATACAAATAGACTGTCATGGCTCCTGCTGCGAACTTTCCTAAAATCTCTCAAAGTCTCACAAAACCCAAAGAAGCAGCATCTTTCCTCAGTATGTCCTGTACCTCTTGCTGAGTAGACCCAAACCCCATACTAGTAGCAGCCAGCCTTGGTTTCTTACTTGGCCCCTTAAGACACTTATAAGCCCAGCACAGGTGGATGCCATATGTGGATTGTTTGATGACTCTTACCAGGTGGCCCTGGAGGTATATGGGCTGTGGCTAAACTTGGCCTGCAGCTGGCCCCCTCCCAGGACTGTCACTGGGCCCCAC